AGAGCATCAGAAATAGGATTTTAATAAAGGTTAAATCTATGACGGTTACATATTGTTGGCTGAAATTACGCGTGGGAATGGAACGTGGCGTGATTTGCATGAAACACGGTGCTAACATTTTCTCTGTTAGCATGGCTTAAAGTTTACAGGCGGTTAGGGAGAAATGCGAATTCACGAAATGGGCTCTAGTGACGTTTGTTCACCAAAAATGCGACTCATTTTCCGCTTAATGTGCAAGCTGAGAACTAGCACACGTTTTATCACTGTGTCTAGGTAATTTTATAAACTGTTTATGTAAAACAGGATTTACCTATATAGTATTTTTGCTTTGGTATGATGCAAATAATAGAGCCGACCGTACAGTGGATTGCTTAATTTCTTTTATTAACTGCCGCAACCGAAACGTACAAAAAGCAGGAAGCGGGTTGGGGATTATAAATACGTGACGTGGGACGAAGGATGTTGATTTTGTTGTACCTTGTATACCTTTTGTTCAAGGAATTGCAAACATTTCTCTCCCCACCCTCTACCTGAGATATTGCCTTTTGCCTAATTTCGTTTCAATGTCTGTGGTAGGTACTACGTGCTTTATTAGCTTTATGTTTTCTTAAGTGACGCTAAAACGATATATTTCATAGCATATAGCCGACACCGTAACTCACTTCATCGTGCAATAGCTTTTTTCAATACGCTTAGTTTTGAGATTTGGCGTTTATTATGTAAAGAAACAATTTCTAAATATTTTATGACAACCAAAACTGATCGTAAACATAGAGATAAGAAAGAATACGTTTTACTTTTTTTTAAATAGTATCACTTAGATACATTACAATATGCTTTTGGGATATCACTATGGCGTTATGAAAATGAAGTTATTATAAGGAATATAATCCTAAGAGACACCAATGTCTACTTACTTACTTTAATATTTAATCAGTATCGTAAATCGCATTGTAACAACTTTTTAATTAATTTTTTTAATACACATCTCATTTACGGATAATCTAAGAGCATCTCATCAGATAGCGTCATTCAGTCCTAATAGATGACATCCGGTTTACTCAATAATATTTTTACAAAACGTTACTCATCCATTAAGGCAATTAATGGGTGCTATTCGAATTCGAAAATTTAGACAATTGAACTGAATTGTACCGAAAAGAACTTATCCTCGTGTGAATGAGGAAGTCCGAAGTAGTAAATATTAAGAAGTACTTATTTAATAAAATCAATAGGAATAAACTAAGCACAAAGCTTTTTATTTAAGCTTTATTAAAATATTAAGTAAAGATTTTTTTTTGTAAGTTTTTAAACTGTAAACATCTATAAAATGATTATAAATTTATCGAAGTCTCATCGTAGTTGTATTTGATGGGTTGCACAGAATACTCAAAATACTGGCCGAGCCACGTAGCCGTTGTTTCAATAATAAAACGTAAAAATAATACATACGTTACTAATACCGGCGCTTTTGTTTACCCAGGCTACAATAGCAATGGATGATAGAAACAGTTGATGTAAGAAAAAGAAAGTGTAAATATTATTTATAGGAATTCATATATCAGGAATAGAAAATAATAAACCAAAACATTAAATTCATTGATTTAAAGGCTGCACTTAGCCTTATATATTCTTAACGTCAGGCTTTTACGATGGCTAACGTAATACACGTTTTAAGTCTTAGGGTAGATTGAAGCCGCTATCAATCATGATATTTTAAATGTTCAGCAAAAAGCATGATGGATCAGTTCCGATTCATAGGAAATTTCATTTTAAAAAAGAAAATGTATTAGCAAAGGTGATATATACTTAAATAAAACAGAGCCACTGCGATTTAGGATAATAAACTTTTGCTCAAAAAAATACATAAGTATATGTTAATTGTATGTATGCACCAAAACATAAAATCTTAATGCTTATTAAAATTTTAGTGGGATCTGACTTTAATAACATTTCAAATCTACGATTTATTTATTTCTCAAAACTAAGTGCGTAGTTTCGATTTAGTAATATTTTATTTATTTCAAAAAATCAGGAATTTATGTGGAAGTGGAACACAAATAATTGGTCACAGTCAATTTCTCCGTCCACCGAAGTGTTTAAATTATATTATAACACTTAACAAAACTAATGTAAATTAAATAAAAAGGGAGAAAAAATAGAAAATTTAAACAAGGCATGATAATTGGTTTACAATCTTAGTGCAACGTACAAAGTACGGTAGTAGGAACTAGGAACCCGTTATTGAATAGTACCTACTATAGATTCGAGAATATTAGAAAAAGCTTTAAAATACGTGTTTTTTTTTGTGAAAGAACTAGGACATGCCAACAGTACTTAATCTATTGATACCTTTACTCAACATAGGGTCAAGACGTCTGACGATCTCACTCACTTGACCGGTTTATTTCCGTCACTTGGAGGCGCCGTGAATGATCTTATCAAATTGTCGCCTTCGAAATACTTCTTGGTATCTAAGCTTAAATGACCCTATTCAGATTATACATAGCACGTTTCTCTTTGGGTAAACCTTTGGGCGGAATAAACTAATGGGGCTTCAATTTCGTCCATCGAGAATCGAGATCGGTATCGGTCGGCCATTGTTAAAAACAAAGAAATTAATTTGGGCCAGGATTAAACTTAATTTATGGCCACCGATAACATTCAATTTTCGTTCTTCAGCGTCGATTTCGACTCGTATTCCAATCACGTATGTTAATTTATATAACTTGTGAACTTGTTTGATTTAGAAATCATTCTAAGTTAATTGACTGGAGGGGTGGCAATAAAAGGGTACCTATATGGTTGTTAAACGATTTTTAAATCTTGCGTTTGTGATAATATTTTGAACGTTATATGTTATAAATAGAACGCGCATTGTGATACATTTTAAATATATTGTCGATCGATATTAATTAAACAGACAATATGCACATACCTAATGAGACGATATTTTTTATTTTATTGTGTGTGCCATTTTTACTTCTAATCTAGCCAAATAAAAACCCTTTTGTTTTTATTTATTAAGCGTTGTACCCAATTATAAGTTCTTTAAATTAATAAGGTTTCTCGGATAATGGCCATTGTCCGTAGTGGTGACCGCCGGAACTAGCTCATAAGCATTAAATTGGGACGCCTGCGTCTCTCTGTTAATTATATTGTTGACTCTACCCGTTTAAGTCTAAGACAATACAGATGGTAGATTTTAGTAATTATAACACATTTAAGTACTATAGCAAGGCCTCGGTCACCTTTAAAGTGTTTTTATACAGGTATGAGGTGTAGTCTGGAGAACCTTAAGACGTAAATAATAAATATAAATCTTCCAATTTTAAATTTAATACGTGTACAATATTATCTCAATTGTTTGAGAATTATGCACCATACTGAATGACTCAGTTTATTATTTTCCGTTTCTTCAATGGTTGTTGTTATAACGGTAATCTAAACAGTTATGAGATTGAACAACTGTATAAAGTTTGTTTTTTATACATAAAATCTATTATTTGTTGCAGCCACCGCGCCATAGATATGTATTAATGATAATGTGTAATTATATTTATTTATGAATTAAAAATAAATATTAGGGGTTTTATTTATGGTTTTCATTATTACATCTTAAAAATTTAATTTTTCTTTACACAAATTTCAGTACAATTACTATTTTAGGTTCGGTGTATGATGAATAAATTGTTAACGTAATTTTACCATTCACATGCAACAAGGCGTAGAGGAAGGACATAAATAACTAAATTAAATTTGATGTATTTTGGTTAAGATATAAGTGGTCAGTTTGACAACAATACAATGTGAAAATACTTGCATAGGTCTTTGTTCAGATTCGAAATTTATTAAGATTTTCTTATGTGCATTTTAATTTTTAAGTAATGGTGAGGAAGCCGTCTAACTGAAGAAGCATCTGCGGAATGGCAGTTCGCCACGAGTTTATTCCAGGTGCGTAGACAGCTGACAGTCAATATAAGGACATATGGCGGAGCGTGCCAGCCGCGTGCCATATCAAGAGGCACTGTGTTTTTTCTAACACGGTCGCTAATATACCATTATTACTCATAATATAAATAGGAGCAGATGTTCTTATTGCCAGTAATAGATAAAGACGTATTTTTTATGTATTACTGGCATTAGCGCCGTGATACTTAAAATAATTCTGACGTGGTTTAAATGTCATTTCGCTGCTAAATAATTACTGAAATTATAATTATACAAATTAAAGGCGACATTTCAAATGTTGCCTATGTGAAATGGCGCAAAAAGTCGAATCAATTATTTACTCGGAAATCTAAACATGTCCTTGTTAAAGGTAACGAAATAAATTTCTTGCAAGTAAATTGTGAATGAAACGGCTTTAACATGTCCATTGTGTCACATCCTGCCGTTTGTCGTTACCTGCTGTCCCTTATCCATTATTAATAATTACTTTTGTACCTGAACATCTACCTCAACGAGATCTTAACAAAAAATGTGTGCAGCATAACAATCGGTTTGTGTCTGAACGGGGCTAGCGTGGTATTGTAACATTCTCGCTCTTTATTGAAACTATCGCTCCCACTGACGAACACACAAGCTCAGGTATTTATGAATGAACGTGACGGTCTGGCGAGCGGGATTGTCGGCCGCGGTAACAGCCAGGTAGAAAATTACACTTTAGGAATTCTTTCAACATGCTGAGTATGGCTACTTAACTCGGTGGCCGTGGATAAGCCGCAGAGCGGGGCGTGGGGTGCTTTAGGCGCGCATGCGTAGAGCGGTTTTCACTTCGACGATACCTCCCTCTCAGTTGATTCACAACCTCCGTGGCTGCGCGGCGTGCCGTCATGCAGCGCTCACCAACTTTCTCGAGTAGTGATGTGATACGGTTTTATTCGATATCGGTACATTAGTTATTTTTATTCGGATACATTGGATTTCAAATAAAAGCGTATAAAGTGAAGTGAATATAGACGGATAATGACCTATAGTGAGATTTGTTTAAATTCAAAATGAAGTGGCTAATTGTGGCTATTCTTGTGATTACATGCGAAACAATTTCGGCTGCTTTTGCGCCTCCTGGGTCGTGTCCAGCCGTATGTATGTGTAAATGGAAGGGTGGTAAACAGACGGTGGAGTGTGTGGATCGGGCTTTAATCACGGTCCCCGAGCCTGTGGACCCCGCGACTCAAGTGTTGGACCTTTCAGGAAACAATTTACAAATACTGCCACAGGAGGCTTTCGCCAGGACGGGACTCGTTAATTTACAAAGAGTGTATTTAAGAAGTTGCAATATCGGGCAAATTAACGACCGTGCGTTTAAAGGTCTCACGAATTTAGTGGAGTTAGATCTTTCGAATAACTTGCTTACGCAAATACCATCGTATAGTTTTAAGGATGCTCCATTTCTTAGAGACCTTGCTTTGGCACATAATCCTATTTTAAAAATACATTCTGATGCCCTTAACAACCTTGGCAGCTTAGTGAAACTTGACCTATCGCGGTGTGAGATAAGAGATATAGCTGCCGACGTATTTAGGAATCTACATTCCTTGGAATCTTTAAAACTGAATGGTAACAATCTCCGAGAGTTACCATTGAGTTCTTTAGAAAAGCTCGAGAAATTAAGAGTAATTGACCTATCAGAAAACCCTTGGATATGTGACTGTCGTTTAAGAGATCTTAAGATGTGGCTCGCGAATCATAAATTATTTTCTAGTCCTTCTTGCTCAGCACCACCTAGATTGGTGGATAAAGCTTTCTCCGAACTATCTCTTGACGAATTTGCATGCAAGCCGGAAATCTTACCTGTGAGTAGACATGTTGAAGCTTCAGTTGGAGAAAATACCACTGTAATATGTAAAACGGAAGCTGTACCAAGCGCTAACATACATTGGTATTGGAATGGCCGACTTTTACAAAACGGCAGTAATTTTAATTCACATCAAAGTATATACATTTTCGAAGCAGGTGAAGCAAAAAAGAGATCTTCGTTAGTTTTAACGAATACACAGGAGACAGATTCTACGGAGTTTTACTGTGTCGCAGACAATAAGGGTGGAAATGCAGAAGCAAACTTTACAGTTCACGTCACACAAATGCCAATGGCATCTTTAGGTAGCGCTCAAATAGCTAGTTTGGGAGCGGCATTATTCTTAGTTATTATTGTAATTTCTTTGGGACTTCTTATTACATTTGTACGATTCCGTCCTGTGACCGCATCGGAAAGCAAAACACCGAATACTTTAGACAGAGTGGTCTCTGGGAATGAAGTACATCCAACTGTTAATGATAGACCACATGTTGCAGTTTTAGCTAATCGACAAGAAACTACGAATTATGATGAGAGAAAATGCCATTCTATAACAAAACCTCCACGAACGAATGATATTCCATATACAACAAACCATTATGAAGGTCGTGGCAGTATAGTTACCACTGGAGGGACCGTGGCAGTCTCTCCTACTATTTCGGGGGGAATCGATCCAGATCTTATAAACGATACCCGGCCAGATAGCGTAACTAGACCTGAGAGTGGCGAATATGCCCGTGAGGCATCTGACTCCTTATATCCATCGGGCCTCTGGGATCAGATTAAAATGAACCAAGCGAATAACTTAGCACGCGCTGTTAGTTCGGCCATCCCAGCATATTACAATGATCGGACTCCCATAATAGAAAATAGTAGCGTAAATGGTTCTCAAGAAGAATTAGGCTATACAAGTAGAACGTTTCCACGTTCGCATGCCTTAACAACTGTCCCTACAGCACCGGGCGATGGTCCTTATCCGCCTGACTATGGCTTGCCAGTTGGATCAGCGCGAACATTACGTGTTTGGCAACGTGCCCCGCCTGTACTTCCACCCGTATCGGCCTTAAAGAGAGTGTTAACTATAACTAGGCCTTCAGAGGATAGTTTTCACGATGGCTGTGCCACAGATGTTTAGAAAAAATACCATTACATAATATATATTAGGTACTTATATTTGTAACTATGAGTCAAATTGTAAATACTTGTAAATGTTATTATAAACATAGATTTTGTATTATATAATAATTTATTTAGTATTTAGGTAGTGGAAAGTTAACTTGGATCCGGATGTGTTGGGTCCACGACTGATTAGATGAAGGATGTAAGTGTATATTATTATGTGATACGGGAAGGTATTTAATATTATGATCGCCAAATAACTAATATACATAATGAGTATTATAAATGTAACCTGAATGTTGATATTAAAATAGATGTTGCATAAATGCGTAATTAATGTTGTGGTAAGGTGTTCACAAAACAAAAGTATCCAAAGATTCCCTCTAATATAACAAAAAGGTATAAAGATACGAATAATCTATAAATGTACGCACGATGAATGTTTATCGATGTAATTAATCTATGTGAATATTTTTATGTTATAAAAAATATAGGTTATGAGAAAGAATAAAAAGGCGATTGTAAAATTTTAACTGCTGTGGTATATTTTCATTTCCTTTTCATAGCAATTCCTTTCCATAGGAATTACTTGAATATAAAACCTGTAGATTTAACTTAAAAATAGGTTCTATTTCTTGTTCCATGGAGAATCGAGCCATAGCTTAAAAGACATTGACACCGGAAGCGCTTTAGATAAGACGTCCGGTGTATGTACATTGTACACATAGAAACTGGTTGTCAATGTTTTAATCTTAAATTAACAGTCAAGTAATATCGTTTATTTGTTCAGGAAGTCAATGAAGATCGTGAGAACCTTTCCTTTCTAAAATGTTTTAAGCAATTTAAACTTAATTTAAAACATACTCAAATGATTCTGTCTAGTGTCTGGTTTTCATATTTAAGGTACAAGAAGTTAGGTTTATACATTTATTTGGACGCCTTAGTTGATCAGAAACAATATATTATTAAAATATGTTTATAAGACAGATAACAAAAAGGTTTCAATATATAGGTAAGAAAAGAACTCTGATGACTCAATGTTAAATTTAAGGCTTTAGTTAACTGATTAAAACTACAACTAACATGAGAAATAAAAGGGAAAAAAAATAATGATTCAAAACATTTAGTAATAATGTATAAGCAACATTTATTGAATGGGAAAGAAGTGGGAGGACAGCTATTGTGTGCAGTACCAGCCCGGCATTCCTGCACTATGACAATCAAACGGTAAGTAACGAACATGTGAGATAAGTATATAAAATTGGACTTTATTGCTCTTAATTTAGGATATAAAGCACTGTACTCTAAATATAAATTTATTTTACCTTTTGTTGGCTACCTTTTTCTTTTACAAAAAGTAGGGTCACGGTGCCGGAGAAAAACCGGTTAGCGTTATTTCATTTCCGCTCAATTTAGTTTTTTATTAGAACCGAACCCTAAACGGGTTCATTGGCGTCGGCTTTGAAGCTTGAAGTTAGTGGTCAAATAACGAGGAATCTGAATAAAAATCAGTCTTTTTTGTTAAGTGGCTGAGTTTTACTGTTAAAAGTAACGTAAGGACACCAGTAATAATAATTAACGCTAAGTTAATAAATTAAATTAAAATAATATTAAGAACGCAAAAATAGTTCAGTATGATAAAAACTATCATACTGAAAATGTTTTTGACAGAGCTTGAGAAAAAGGCTTTAGTCTAAACTTTTGTAGTTGAAAGTATCTTAGTATTTTTCTTAGAGATTGAAGTAGTGAATTAATTTATTCATTTTACACAGTTGAATTTACGGCCACTTTATTAGATTTAATATTTTACAGTGTTATTGTTGTTGCAGAGTAAATTTACTTTACACCGTTATTGTCCAGTAGCTTTCCGCTTTCTTATTGTATTCTGCAACTTTCGCCAGAAATGTTTTGACATACACAATGGGCTCTCACAACATTACAATTTATTTAGTTATGTATTAAGGGGTTATTTATGTCATATATTAAGGGCATAAGTGTAGCTTTATTGACATCTATACAGTAAATGTAACTAAAATAGATAATCACTACGGCTGCAATAGTAGTTTAAGGTTAATAACTTATTGTTCATTAATCTAGTTCTTTTCAAGATATACACATATATACCAATGGCGCTGCAACCTTTTATATAGTGATCAACCTTCTGTGCCTGACACACACCGATGGCTATTTGGGTCTAAGGCGTGCCGATTTCCTCACGTTACCGTATGAGCGAGTGTTAAATGCGCACATAAATAGAAAGTCCATTGGTGCACAGACGGGGATCGTACCTACGACCCCAGCGATGATAGTCGCACGTTCACATGACTCACTCACACACCAACACGGCTCCTTTTCAAGATATAATAATAAAGGCTTCTTTATTTCCATATCCTTAAGTTCCATTTCAAATGTTGTTAGTATTTTCTTAATCTAAAGTCACTCTGCCATTGTGTCTAGAATAAGAGTGTCTAGGGACTTTTCCATATCTTATATTTTGACTAAAAAGTTAATAAATTAAAATCATACTCGCATTCGCGTTACGCTTTTCGCGAGATACGACCCGGCTACATCGGTAATATTATTATTTACAATATTCATGGGCGAACCGGGGCGGCGCAATTGCTTGCGAGACCCGTTCTTTCATTTTGTTTGCCTCCTTTAGACATTTAATATTTTTTTCGCAGAACCGTTCCAGGCACGGTCTGTACTTTGTTAACATGTCCTGTTGGCCGTTACGGTCTACTGTCATCTGTGTTTGTTGGTCCAGGTCGTGCCTGGACGGTGCTAGGACAATGTATAAGCACATGTTCGACAGCTTGTTCGCTATTATTGCAGGTACACATGTTGGGCTTGTCTTAATTTTAAACCTATGCAAGTTTGAAAAGGCTCCGCGCCCTGTAAGCCCTTCTCTTTTATTAACTTATATGTAGCTCTAACATCTCCGATGAAAAATTTTCTAGTTCCAGTTGTTTCACCATTTTACTTATTGCTATGTGTGGATATGAGCCCCGCTTGGGTGAAGACCTCCTCCAACCCTTTCCACATATCTCTTTCTTCGCCAATAGTATGCCGGTCATTTTCTGCTATTTCTATCAAGTCATCTTGGTCTTTCAAGATATGCCAGGCCATCATTTTCATGAAAGTACATTACATCTACGATCAAACATTTATGATGATATTTAAAAAGTATGGATCTTATTCGTTACACAATTACGTGAAATCTTACGCAATATAATGGTGGTATTATAATAATATAATAATGTATATTTTTTATTATTACCTACATTAGTAATTTAGTAATATCATTGCCTACAAAAATGTATGTACGGATTATATAAAGAAACAATCGCTTTAAGGGTCATTTAGCAAAGATTAATTCTCTATGATAGCAACTTCGACTCTTGTCTTGAAAGTAACATAAAGTATTTATGAACCAGACTTAGGTTTGTGATTGCGTGCAAATGAAACTCCGATAGCTATGTAAATCTTCGATCCTCTATTTTAATTAGGATTATCAGAATATAACATAGAAACAGAAAGACAATGGAAATAGTTGTTGAGTTACTAAAATTAATAACCAAACCTTTAAACAAAACTTATCATTTTATATTTCCGTAAATCAAAAAGGGAAACCCGCTCCTAAAAATCAACCACCATTGCGCGGGAGCAAACGCTCGTTGTTATATAGTTAATAAATAAAACAAGTATGAAATATACTTACCAGTACTTAATAATATTTATTATGTTTTACAGTTATAATTTTAGCTCAGTCTTTGGTCGGCTTTTGTGTATTTCGACAATAACTTTGTTTTGTTTTGCGGTTTCGGTCCCAACATTCTATAGGTAAGTAAGACATTTCCGCGCTAGACCGCATTAATTAATCAATGAAGCCAGTGGTATCCAATCTATTTTGATAAATCTTCCTCAACATGGGCTCAGTTTACCAATTTGATTTTGAGCTTTTGTATACAAACTATTGTTGACGGTCGAATGGGTAAACCCGAATCACCACGACGTCCGTCGTTCCACAACTGAGCTTTTTTTTTGTAATATTTTGCCGCACACCACTGCTATGTGAAATCTGGCTGGCCGTCGAGGTATTTCCGAACCAATATGAATTAGGGTTCTTGAAGAAAAGAGCGTATCTATTCTTAAATAACCGGCAACGCACTCGCGAGCCTCACGAGCCCTCTCGCTTTGAGAGTGTCCATGGGCGGCGGTTTCACTTAAGTTAATCAGATGAGTCTGCTGCCTGTTAGCTTCCTTCGTTCTAAAATAAAAGCGTTGAGGTTTCTTTATGTATCAAAACTTATTTTTATAATAATATTACATTGAGAAAAAGTTTGTTTATTTTTAAAGACTACACGATGGATTTAAAAGCATCTTACACATTACACTTTACATAAACTACATAATTTTTTATATTTTTTTCCAATTAAACGTTCACGTCCGATTCACCCACCACGCAAAATCTGACCAAGTTACGTGTCTAGACTAATACCTCCTTCGCACAACGCCGATACTGAGCCACCAACCATACCTCCTTATCAGAGTTAACTAATGATATAGAATGTAAAATAAAAGTTTGATAAAATCTTCCAATTTACATGTAGGCAAAATAGAGTCAATAAATTAAAAGCTGCTACGGGTTGCGGTTCACATTGTTCTCGTAATCAGAATTCTCAATTATTTCATTAACTTCAATACTTGTTTGCGTGCGTAGTTATTTCTAAGCATTCAAATTGAGTAATATAGTGCGATTATAATTTAAGAATTACCGCAGTGCACTATTAGGACAATGGTTAAGGAATATGAATGAACGTATTTAATTCATTAAATTATTACCCGTCAAGAGCTTGGTTTCGTGCCAATCGACCACTTGGGCATACCTATTTAACATAATAAAGGCCCAAAGTGAAAACGTTAAAAATCATTGATTTTCCATGACCTCTTCGAGGTCTAAACAAGAAATTTTACATAAGAACAATTTCTAGAAGGTCACTTATATGTTACCTA